TTGACTGCAACTTATAGCAACACTATAGGAAAGAGTAGACCTGCTTCTTCAGGTTTCTAAGACTAAATCTTTATGGAAGCAAACAGCCTCATCGTTTTCCCTCAGAGCAGCTGGTAGATTTGAACTGCTGACCTTACAAACAACCTCAAAAACCCTATACAGGATCACTGTGGGACGGAATCAGCTTGATGGCAGTTAAAGAATAATGATGAATCTGTAAAACATCTCATAACATAGATGCACCTGAAGGGCATTATGTTGAGTCAAATTAGTCAATCACAAAAAAACACATACTGTATGAGACCACTACTGCAAAAAGTCAAGAAAAAAATAAAAGAAACATTCTTTGGTTGCCAGGGGTGGAGAGTCACTGTCTAGAGGGTTGTTTTTAGGTGCCTTGGAGTTGGTTCTGACTCATAGCCACCTTGTATAGCGTTTCCAAAGCTGTAAATCTTTACAGGAGCTGAATGCCTCATTTTTCTTCTGTGGAGACACCTGTTAACTTAGGGAAAGGGAAAGGGGGAAAAATTACAAAAAGAGGAAAATAAAAAGTTAAATATCTTTTCTGCAAAGCAGTCCAATTTCCAGGAACAAGATTGGAGCTTTTTCTTCTGTGATCCTCTTAGTATGTCAGTAAAACGTTATTTGAATAGAATTTAAAAAAAGAAAAAGAATTATTACATGATCTTTGGGGTTCATCTGGCTCTGAGATTCTATAGGCACTAAAGGGATTAGGAGAAGGGAGCCTCCATTGTTCTAAATTCCATAACTTACTCTTTCTGAAGCTAGAACAAAGACAGGTGGGAAAGGCTATTTACCGTGTCTCAGGCTTTGCTGGGTGACAATGTGTTGAGGAGCCCATCTCAGTCCAGAATCTTGTCTCCAAAGAGAAGCCTCAGAAAACTTCTGCTTGGGGAGGAAGGGTGGGCTTACCCGACAAAACCAAATGATCAAATTACTCATGAAGTGGCAAGGAGAAATAAAATAGCAAGAGCACCATTCTGACCTCTGACTTAGCTTCTCTCCCTGTGGGTACCTCTGTGAAAAACAGATTGTGCGGATATGGGTGACAGGTAGGGAAGGAATAGAAGGAAGGCACCAGATTCCACCTCATGTGGTTCAAGGAAAAGCCTGATGTGTCACCTACAGCAGAGGCGCACTTGCCTCCAGGAGGGTGGGAGGATGTCTTGGGCAGGGCTGTCAGCCCGAGACTTGGATGGAGAGATTAGCATTACTCTGAAACTACCCATTTGTCTGGCTCCCAGGCTTATTGACTGGACACTCTTTCCTTCGACATGCTAATAATTTCCTTCAGTAATGATGGTCTTCTCCTGTTTGCCTGGGTGCTTGGAATTTTCAAACTGAGGGTTTTGAAACCGGAAGTTTCCTTCCCTTTCTTTCCAGTTTGGATGCTGGTGAGTGGGCAATCTCTTTCTCCTGGGCCCTCCCGGGTCCTCCTAGGACCAGATTAAGCGGGAAGAGGCTGGGACGGCCAGAGAATCGGATCCTTTTCCGCCGTGGAAGGGTGCAGAAGGGCTGGGTCCAGGATTCGAGGAGGCTCCCTCTCCGCGGCTGGGCAGCCCCGGGCACTGGGCCCGGAGCCGAGCAGGGGCGTGTCCGGAGCTCACCTGCCATTGGCTCGTGGGGCCGGCGGCCAGCGGAGGCCGCGCTATAAGTGCGGAACCGGTGGCGGCGGCGGCGCTCCGCGCGGCGAAGGATGGTGGACAGCGTTTACCGGACCCGCTCTCTGGGGGTGGCGGCCGAGGGGCTCCCGGACCAGTATGCGGACGGGGAGGCGGCGCGCGTCTGGCAGCTCTACATCGGGGACACCCGTAGCCGCACGGCGGAGTACAAGACCTGGCTGCTCGGGCTGCTGCGCCAGCATGGCTGTCAGCGGGTGCTGGACGTAGCCTGCGGCACCGGGTGAGCCCCACTGGGTTTGAGGGGGGCACGCGGGGCTGCGAGACCACGGTGGGCACGTAGGGGCCGCTCCTCAGTCCGCCCGGAGCTGCGCAGAGGCGGGCCGTGGGGACTGACCGGTGCCTGTTCGGGCAGAACAGGCACTCTCCAAGGGTAGCGGCTGGCAGATGAGGAAGGGGAGAAAAGAGAGGGCTTGAGTGAGGGTGAGTGGGCGCAGCGGTGGGAAAGCTCTGACCTAGGACGTCAAGTTTCTGGCTCTAGCGTTGTTTCTCATTTTGGTTGGCCTTGGGCTAAGTTAACAGTAAACATTTGCTCAATGTTGGCCTGTGCCAAGCCTGTGCCCCGGAACTTTTGACACGTTTTTTAAAACCTCACGAAAACACATGAGGTAAGTAGTGATATCCCTCCCTGTTTGCAGTTGGGTACAATTAAGTCTGAGAGAGGTAAAGTTTTCCCATGTAGTAAAGAGGCCATGTGTACTGAGGTTGTTTAAGGTCTGGCCTATCCATACTATATTGGCACCTGTGCACAAGATACTTCATTGTCCAAGCTTTAGTTTGCCCATCAGTGTGGCACTGTAGGATAAGCACTAGACTGCTAACCACAAGATTGGTGGTTCAAACCCATCAACCACTACTTGGAAACCCTATACAGGATTCTGAGTCAGAATGGATCAGTAACACTTAACAACAAACTACGGATACCTCATAGGGTTACATATTTATAGAGTTTGGATCTGAATGTTGTTGTTAAGTACCATGGAGTCGGTTCCGACTCATAGTGACCCTGCACAGGGTTTTGGAGGCTGTAAATGTTTACGGGAGCAGAAAGCCTCATCTTTCTGCTGCCAAACAGCTGGTAGTTTTGAATTGCCGACCTTGGGGTTAGCAGCCTGGTTCGTAACCACTACGCTACCAGAGCTCCTTTGGATCTGAATAGGTGCTTTAAAAAAAAAAAGTTGCTACCTTTAAAAAAAAAAAGGTCATCTAAGTCAGCTGAGAAAAGCCCAGGAAGAGGAAGCAGAGGAATGGACTCCACCATTCTGTTAAGAAGGAGCGGTCTCTTCTACCTGCTCCTGGCAGGCCCTCTGACTGCGCCTCTTTGCTCTCATGCCCCGCTCTGCCCAGGGTGGACTCCATCATGCTGGTGGAAGAAGGCTTCAGCATGACCAGTGTGGATGCCAGTGACAAGATGTTGAAGTATGCGCTTAAAGAGCGCTGGAACCGGCGACATGAGCCTGCCTTCGACAAGTGGGGTATGCAAAGCCAGCTGAGTCACCAGTCCAGCCACCAGGGACTCTGTTCTGTCTTGGGCTCCTCTAGTCCTTGGGTGGGGTGTCCTCCCTACCCAAGAGAACAGTAAGATCAGAAGAAAAATCACTGTCATTTCCCTGATAAGAGAGGCTTAGCCACTAGAAAAGACAGAGTGTGAACTGTGTTTATGTCCTGTCCCTCCCACCATGAATAAAGACCTGTAAGCAGAGTCCTCCTGCCTCTTGCTCCCTTGGCCCCTCTTCCCTCCTCACCCTCCATGTTTATAATGATCCCTTCCCACTAACTTAATAGGGAGACCCTGTTTTGAAGAGGAAACTAAGGCAGGACTGTAGTTGGTAGAAGTGGGTGCTACTGGCCCCATGAAAACTGTGTCACTCTGACCCTTCCTCACTTTGGCTCCCAGTTATTGAAGAAGCTAACTGGATGACTCTAGACAAAGATGTGCCCCAACCACCAGGGGCTGGTTTTGATGCTGTCATTTGCCTTGGGAACAGTTTTGCCCACTTGCCAGACGGCAAAGGTGAGAGAGAGTGTGGCCTTTGGCATAGACCTTGTCCCATAAAACCCTTTCTAGAGACCCCTGCCTTGGGTACCTGCTCTTCTGTAAAGCAGACTCTCTGCTTTGCCCCTCTCTGCCTTGGCACTGGTACCCATGGGGAGGGAAGAGATGGGACAGAGATGGGTGCTGGAAGGTCATGAGTGGACAGAGCCTCTCTGTCCCTGCCTGGAGTTCAGGGGACCAGAGTGAGCACCGGCTGGCACTGAAGAACATCGCAAGCATGGTGCGGGTGGGGGGCCTGCTGGTCATCGACCACCGGAACTACGACCACATACTCAGGACAGGCTGCGCACCCCCAGGGAAGAACATCTACTATAAGGTAGGGCTTTCCACCAGAGGAAGGCTGAGTGGGTGGTGCCATGGGTGGCCGAGGCTAATGCTACCTGCACCATGGCCTCCAGAGCGACCTGACCAAGGACATCACCACATCGGTGCTGACAGTGAACAACAAAGCCCACATGGTGACCCTGGACTACACGGTGCAGGTGCCAGGGGCCGGTCTGGATGGCTCTCCTGGCATGAGGTACCCACATGGCTAGGCAGGGGCATGAGGGGAGGGGAACTGAGCCACTCACCCTCACAGTCTCCTGGGGTTCTATTGCAGTAAGTTCCGGCTCTCCTACTACCCACACTGCCTGACAGCCTTCACAGAGTTGCTCCGGGAAGCCTTTGGGGGCAAGTGTCAGCACAGCGTCCTGGGTGACTTCAAGCCTTACCAGCCAGGTCAGGCCTACATTCCCTGCTACTTCATTCACGTGCTCAAGAAGACAGAATGAGTGCAGCCTCAGCTTCCACAATCCTGGGCCTGGCACTGCTGGGCTGTGCAGGGCAGAAACTGAGGGTGTGGGGAGGGACTGACTGCTGTTGGGCGCAGAGATTTGGGTTCTGGCAAATGGAAGGACCATCAATAGAGTCTGTGCCTTCTTCACTTCCTGAATGTCTTGTGTTTATGTCTGAAAGATCAGGCTTCTGTGGTACTCACTCCTGTCCACCCCTTGGGTTTACTCTTCCCACCACCAGCTCCTTGCCACGTGAATCTTTCATCAAACGACACCAACAGAGGGCAGCATACACTTTATTTTCAGCCACAATTCTGACTAATTCCCAGGCCCAGCCCGGACCTCCTAAGCAGATAAGCCCTAGCCTTGCTGACCTGAGAGGAGTAGACAGACAGGATGTGCCTCTTGAATGACACGCTGCCCTAAGGAGATCTTCTGGAAGTAGGTAGCCTTCAGGGTGAGCAGACACCTGAAGAAGTGCCTCTTCCTTCCTCTCAGGTCTCTGAGGCACCTTTAATAATTGTGGATGGGCTCCTAGAATGCAGGAGGCTCCTAGCAGGCAGCAAACTTGCGCTGGATACGCTTGTACCGGAGCAGATCCTGCTCGCTGATGGAGGGCTGCAGCCGGGTGGCAGCCTGCAGTAGGTCCTCCATGGTGAGCAGCAGGGCTGAACTACTCCCCAGCTCCAGTCCTGGAAAGTGACAAGGCGAGTCAAGGCCAGGGTCCCCATTCCAGCTGAGGAACAAAGCCTGTGGTCTAATGACCAGGCAGGGGGAGTCCTGGGAGAGGCACCTTCCTGTCCAGAGTCCCCCAGGTGTCAATATTCCCAGGCCTGCCTCCCACTGGTTCAGTTGGTTGACTTCTGCAGCTGACAAGAGTGGCTTACCTGCCTCCAGGTCACGAACCCTGCGTTTGAGAGCAGCTGTCATGGCGTCAGAGCAGAGGGAATAGAGGTCAGCACCTGTCAGTTGGGGAGGGCAGTGGTCCAGCACACTCACCAGGCTCACAGAGGGCTCCAGCTTAAATCTGCAGTGGGGAAACAAGAAAGAAACCATTATATACTCCTTCAAAAGCCACTGCTGACCAGCAAACCCTTTGGGAGTCTCCCTCTAATCGGACATACTTGCGTGTGATGGCACTCAGAACCCGCAGCTGGGAGGCACGGTCCTCGCTCACCCCCACAAACACCAGCTTGTCAAATCTTTAGGGCAAGGAAGTACAGATAAGTAAGGAAGGTCAAGTTCCTCCTCCCCTAGGAGGCTAGGCTGGCGTCAGTGCCAGGAACCCCAGCCATGAGCGGTAGAAGAGGCAGAGGATGGAGGTCAAAAGACAGGCCCACGTGGATTTGGCCCACTGGAGGTGAGAGGTACGGAATGCCCACCTGCCAGGACGCAACAGGGCAGGGTCCAAAAGGTCTGGCCTATTGGTGGCTCCAATCACAAACACATCCTGAGTGCTGTGAAGCCCGTCCAGCTCAGCAAGGAGCTGAGACACAACCCTGGAAAGGACAAGGAGAAGTCAGTCTGGAGAGCCCACAGTGCACCCTCAGACCTGCCGCTGCCTGTGCGCCTCTCCCTGACAGCCTTCTCAACAAGACTTTGTGTTCCATCCTGTCCTGTTTCACCCAGACCTCTCTTCCCTCAGGTCCCCCACCACCTCTACTCCCTCATATTTCACCTTCACTGTTGTACAGTGCTACATCAGAGCAGTCCTGGTATGGTGCTGTAGGATAAGAACTAGACTGTGCTAACTACAAGGCTGGAAGTTCAAATCCACCAGTCGCTCCTTAGAAAGAAACCCTATGCAGGGTCGCTATGAGTCAGAACTGGACAGCATTTAACAAAAACATACTCTCTGAGAACCAGAAGGGCAGGAACTTGTATCTCTGAGCTCTGGTTTGGAGTTGGCTGCTACCAGTCTCCCATCCCTCCCATTCTAGGCCTGACTCCATTCCTGGACCCCACCTGTCCATCACTCCTCCAGAATCTCCACTTCGCCCCCGGCTTGGGGCCAAAGAGTCCAGTTCATCAAAGAAGATAATGCATGGAGCTGCGGCTCTGGCCCGAGCAAATACTGTGGGGAGAGAGGACCCACAGGAGGGGAAGTTCGGGGGCGGGGCTTGAAGATAGGGCAGAGGAGGAAGAAAACCAAGGGCTGACCATTCATCACCAGCTCGTCAAGTACTAGACTGGCTGGGCAGGAGCCTGATTTGTAGAAAGGCGGACTAGAAATGGTCATGAGCAGCCTGGGGTGGAGGAGGCCACGTAGGAGCCCTGCCCCTCCCTGCTGGCTCACCTTCCCGCACATTCTCCTCACTTTGGCCCACGTACATGTTGATGAGCTCTGGCCCCTTCACACTGAGTGAGAGGATGTGAAAGGTGACATTCACCAAATGCACACACACCATCACCCTTTAAGGCCACCCCTCCAGCCTACTGCAGCCCCCAGCCCTCTCATCATCCCTTCTAGACGCCAGCACCTGAGGAAGGTAAGGCTGCACTCAGTGGCCACAGCCTTGGCCAGGAGGGTCTTGCCAGTGCCAGGGGGTCCATGGAGCAGGAGGCCTGAGCGCCTAAGGCCCAGGCTCAGCAGCTCGGGGTGCTCCAGAGGGAGCTGAATGGTCTCTAGAATCTCCTTCTTCACATCCTGAAGCCCACCCACATCCTGCCAGGACACTGAGGGGATCTAGGAGACAGAGGTGTGTGGTTGGGGAAAGCCTGAGGGAGGGAGCCCCTCTTTCACCTCTGAGGACTTGGACTTTCTACCCTGGGGGCACCGACAGCTTGGGAGTGTGCTGCCTGCAGCTGCTCCAGCGCCTGCCCGAAGTCCTCCGCCAGGAGGGGGAAGCCAGCTGCACACAGCTCCCCCTCATCCTCCTCGCTCCAGCCACTTGCCAAACTGCAGAGAAAAACCCAGGAGGCTCCTGGGGGACCTCGCCCCAGGCCTCCTCTCCACCAGGCTCCTGTTCCCTTCTCCCTTCCTCACCAGCCCCCAGCCCAGATTTCCTTGGCTTCCTGCCCTCTCCTGAACCTGTCTCCTTACCCCAAGTTCTTGATCCTGGTGCACGCTGCCCGGCTGCTGTGGGTGAGAAGGGCATAAAGATCCCCCACCACAAAGCCCTAAGGAACCAGAAGAGATAGATGAACAGGGTCTAGCAGGAACCCTTGGAAGATGTGGAAGGTGGTCCCCCACCAGCAGCCTTGGCCCAGCATAAATGTGGTGGGGTCTTCTATCACTTGCAGGGCAGCAGGACTGAGCTCCTGGGACAGGAGGCCAGGGAAGCCCAGCACCTGCCTGGTACTCACAGCACAGTGCTGCGCCAGCTGGGCCAGGTTCACCTCTTGGCCCAAGGGAAGGTGGGTAGTGAGGGCCTGCAGGATGCTGAGCCGCTGGCCCTCTGACAGAACCGGCACTTCCAGTTCCTGTGGGAAGGCTGTCTGCACATCAACAGGCAGGTCCTGAGCCCGACTCGTGGTGGCCACAACCATCAGGGGAGGGCAGCTGCATGAAGGGAAGTGGACACTGATGGCAAGACCCAGGCTGGTGCCAAAGATGGGGGAGCTGAGGTGGGTGCTGGGGTGGGACAGAGATGAGTAGCCTCCTGGAGGAGGGTCTGTGGGAAGGTCTCCTCACCACATGTACTCCCTGAGGTTTTTCTTCAAGCTAGTATCTTCCAAGAGTGGCACCACATCCTCCTCCCTCTGGCTACCCTACGGCCTTCAGCTCAGGGCTGCCTACAAGGCAGCTAAGTGGGCATGGATGTCTGAGAAGCCATTGAGGGGCCGTGGGGAAATGAATGAAGAGTGAAAAGGTTGAAGAAGAGAGCTGGGCCTCACCCAGCTGACAGGGCCCGCTCTGTATAAATACCTGGTGAGGGGGTCCTCACTGAGGAGGAGGTGACGCAGGGCAGCCACCACACGGGCGTCCTCACCTAGTCCCTCACGGTCCCAGCCCAGAAGGTCCAGAGCCGTCAGCAGCAGGACTGCGGGTCGGCAGCGTTGGGCCCGGGAGAAAGCTGCCTGCAGCTTGGACTCCACAGACCGGCTGCTGTCCGCACAGAGGCTGGAGCAGGGCACCTGGAAGGGAGCATGTGAGCAGGGGACAGGTGTGACTGGGGCAAGAACGGGTGGGGAGAATGAATCAGAAGATTCTTCAGGGGGGGAGGGGAGAGATTAAGTTAGGAGAGGTGACACTGGCCAAGTCCCAATTCTGCTGTATCCATTTCCTAGTGCAATTCTCTGGACTGTCACCCAAATCTTGAAACCCCCTCCCTCTTGAAATCAACTCTCATCAGCTGGGCATCATGGGACTATGCCTGACCCACTGAGCTCAGGAGCTGGGGCTGGCTCTGCTACAAAGGGGGGAGACAGACAGACAGAGGGCAAGTCGTAGGCCCTGCTCTCCAGGTGCCCTCACCTTCACTAAGTGGAGACCCAGGCGGCTGCAGGCAGCAGCAACTGCTGTGCTCTTCCCACTGCCTGGGGGCCCCAGGAGAAGAACACTGCTAGCTCCCGTCAGCAGGGCACCACTGTAACCAGAGAAGACACACCTGTCCCCTCCACCAGCCCAAACTCCAGCACCCCCAGGAACACACACACCTAAGAAGCACTTTCTCCTGAAGCAGTCCCTTGCTCCAAGGGGACTGTTTCCACCTGGTGGGGCCATATTTCCCACACCTCCTATGGGGATGGGGGTGGTGGAATGTATCCAGTAGCTGGAGACTACTTCCTTTCCTCGCTGTGCCTTCAGCGATGTCTCAACTGTACTGAAGATTTAGGAGGAATGCCTGTGTTTATAATTGGGCCAATGATCTGGGGAGCCTGAGAATTGCTGGTGGACTAGGCATTCTGATTTGAGGGAGGGCCCCTCTCCACTACTGTGGCTGGGAGCACTGGCCTGTTGCACCTCTGGGGATGTTCTGGGCAGGCTCTCTTCAGCCTAGAGCTGTGGCCTTACTCACCCTGGCTGGAGGCGAGGCTTCAGGGCAGCACAGAGCTCTGTCACCAAGACCTCCAGGCCTGGGGGAGACAGGCTGTTCCAGAGTGTGTGTTCTCCTGAGGAGAGTGCTGGTACAGGGCTCATGGTGGCACCCACCTATGAATGGTGGAAGGAAGCTTTAGACTGCTGCTTCTATCCATTTCCCCAGGTCCTCCCCGACCCCCAGGTCCTCACCATGTACAAGGAGGTATGGGTGGTGTCAGCCAAGTAGGCACTGGCTGGCTCATCTGAGCTTTCTCCGACTGTTTTCTTCACCTTAAAAAACATCTCCCACCACCTACAGGAAAGATGCCCAATGAAGCCCATGTCCAGGGCCTACACATCCTCTTCCAGAAGACAAGAAAGCTAGCTCAACCAAAGAAGTCCTACAAAGGGGGCAAACTCAAGAGCACCAAATGCGCTGGACTGGAAGGTCAGTTTGAACCTCAAGGTCAGCAGTTCAAGCTCACCAGCTGCTCCTCAGAAACCCTATACAGGGTCGCTATGAGTCAGAACTGACTTGAGAGTACTTAATAGCAACAGACATAGCTTGATCATACACATGATGGAGGCAGGAGCTATGCCTATCCCTCCATACCCTCCATGTCTACCATCAGAGTGCCAGAGAAGGGAGGGAAAGGGGTTAGACAAATGGCCACCCACCCACTCCAATGGGAGAAGGCTATTGCTGCACTAAGTAATGGATCATTTGATCATTCCCTACGACTGCAGAATAGTCTCTCCCTCAAAGGTATACCCCAAGACCCTCAAACCTCTGAAGAGTTTCTGGCTTTTATGTGATAATTCACAAAATCAATTGCAGGCAGATTCCTTAATAATAACAGCTAACAGTGAACGATTCCCTATTCAGGCTTTACACTGGAATTCTCTGTGAAGTTTTTAAAAACCAGCATTTCTCACACCTTACAGGATTTTGTTCCTATGAAGTATCCAGTATAGGCAAATCCACAGACAGAAAGTAGATCAGTGGTTGCTAGGGGTACGGGGAGTAGCTATGATGGGCAAGGGTTTCTTTCTTGGGTAGTGAAATGTTCTGGAATTAGTGGGGATGATTGCACAAGCTTGTGAATATACGAAAACTCACTGAATTGTTCATTTTTAAAGGATGAATTTTATGGTGTGTGAATTATAACTTGGTTTTAAAAATAGAACATTTCTCCCTCCTTTGGAAAATAAGACCCCACAGGTCCCAGCCTCACCCCAATCTGCCTCAATGAGTCTGAAGTATCTGTTTGTCTCAAGTTCTCTCAGGGACTCTGTGCAGTCACCACCTCATGTCATAGGGAGTTAGGTTTACTGGGGAAAGGGTGGGTAGTAGGTCGCAGTTACCCAAATTTCCAGAGAAACAAATGATAAACTGCTATCCTCTTTTCCTTTTTAGTGCTTATGCTGTAACAGAGCCAGAGTATAACCAGGACCCCCTAAAGCCCCTTTGCTTACATTGTCCCAGTCTTACAGCAAAGGTGGGTAGAAGAGACCTAAGGTGGAGTGGCAGGTATACCAGGTTAGCATTAGGAAACTATTGTGGCTGATACTGTTGCCAGTAATCATGGTTAAAACCAGAATAAGGCAAACTGGACCCTACCATTATGATTATGAATGGGAAGGCCCACCACCTCACCTGTTCAAGGTAGCCCTGGTAGCAGTGTAAAGACTGAGAACAGCGTAGTGCCAGGCAGGGTGAAACAGCCCTCCCTGAGGGAGACACACTGGGCAGCCTGAGGCAGAAGGGCCAGGCCTCTAGAACCTAGGTGACACTGTGAGAGAGCACTTGGTTGCATTTCAGAGGGCCAGGTGGCAGGCAGTAGAGCAGGGAGAGGCTGATAAGGTGATACGTACGTAAACTCTTCTTTCCCAGTGATCTTAGGAAGAGCCTGCAACCTCATCATCTCTATTTGTCCTTGGACCTAGCCTAATCCTGCTTTTCCAAGACCTGCTCAGGGCAAGAACTATGTGCTCAGCACCCAGAGGGAGGAAGGTCTCTACAGGGCTGAAACAGTAGAGGCCCAGGAATAGAACTAGCTTGGTAGTGTGTCCCAGTGTTTTCCTTTGAAGATGAAAGGGGTAGGCATGCTATAGTTTCCCTGTTGAAAGCTGGCTCATAGGCATGGCTAATGCTAAAGTGGGTGAGAGGTGGGAAGTGACTGATTAAGTGCCAGCTTGGCACTTTTCACCAGGCCCTGGTTGTGGGCTTGATTTGGGAAACCCCACAAGTGCCACGGAGCATGAAATGGGATTGCAGATGGCACCAGCAGATTCTTCATCTACACACCAAAGACCTGAGACAGGAAGACTGAGCCCTGGCCAGAGACCCAAGCTCTGAATACTAACCAAGGCTGAATCAAGGTACTCAAGACAAGGTATCTCTGAGGGCAGAGAACCCCAGTTGGCTGAGCCTGAGACCTTGGGAATGAAGGCTCTTATGTACAAGTTCCTGCAACTGGTGCCCCTTCATTTGATATCTCCATTAAAACTGAGTTAGTCTTTCTATCAATTGTGTCTTCCTAGTAAATCGCTATAGGACATCAGTCCAGAAAAAGGGAATGGTTAGGATATAGGATCATATTTCCCCTGCATCACATAAAACCAAAGCAGTCTCTTCATTCTTTGCCTCACCACTTTCTACGGAACCTCTGTGGTCAGAGCTCACAACTGGGTTCCTTGTTTTAAATTTTTGGTTCAGTTATGCTCTATTTCTCATTCTCTGTTGAGGACATGGAAAAAGAGAAGGGAGGGTTTCTAAAGGGCAGTAGCAACTTCTCTGCCCCTTTTGGGAAACAGGATTGGGAAGCAGCAGATGTACATTCCATCAATTACAGGAGACGTCTAATTATGTTGAATGTATGAGAGAGACGTCTGAGTTCTGGCCTCTGTGGTTTAGACTGGAAAGGAAGGAATCACATCTTGATCTAGGTCATTAAATTCTTAATTTGCTTTACTTTGAACACCTTACAACAATCAACTTGAGGATAGACACCTCCCACAATCAGCAAGTAGTAACCTTTTTTCAGTTTCAGATTTTGTTTTTTCAGAATCGGAAAGTCTGGATCTTGTCTCCAAAAAGAAAATGGACACAATGAAATAAAATTGCTACCTATATCTATGGAACCAATGGCTCAAAAGAGGGAACAAATCTTTACACTGAGGATCATTCCCACCCCCTCCATACACAGAGTAAGTAGACAGGGATAGGCAACTTGGACATTGGTTATCTAAAATGAGGGGGCTACAAAGGCAAGAAGCGACTGGCTTACAAGCTCTCAAGAGGGAACCTAGATCCAGAGGGCATGGATGAAGGTAGAATCTCCACTGAGTAGTATCCAATGTCTGGGCAGAGCAAATGAAAGGAGAGGGGGATAGGTCCCTTGGGGTACAATGGTGAATAATTGTTATCAGGACTGACTGCGAGCGTTGGAAATGTAAAGGTGGACATTTTATAGCAAAAGGAGGGGAGTGATTGACTATGCAGTCTAGGAGCCGAAAGAGAGGGGGATAGGTCCCTTGGGGTACAATGGTGAATAATTGTTATCAGGACTGACTGCGAGCGTTGGAAATGTAAAGGTGGACATTTTATAGCAAAAGGAGGGGAGTGATTGACTATGCAGTCTAGGAGCCGAGGTCCCTGGAACCATCAAGGGAGTAGAGCGGAGTGCGAGACCCTACCCAGAGAAGCAGTGACACCAGAGATGGAGGAAAAGATGACGTGGAGAGATGAAGCCAGCTAGGGACTCTAGACCCAGAGAGGGAGAGAGGCTGTGTGCTGATGGGGGTGGGGATGGGGAGGGGGGAGGCAGGCTTGAAGGGTATACCCTTTGGTTGGTTGATGATGCATAGAGGGGATTATAACCATAGCAATGAAACAATATATGATAGGATGAATGTAAAGCTAATGTTCTCCCATGTAAACTATCACATAATTCACAGTATAACACTGAAAAAAAAAAAAGTGAGGACAGTTAGACTTCATCTCTCATACTTTGGGCATGTTGTCTGGAGGGACCAGTAAAGGACATCATGCTTGGTAAAGAGGAAGACTCTCAATAAGGTGGACTGACACTGTGGCAGCAACAATACGTTCAAACATCACTACAATTGTGAGGATGGCACAGGACCGGTCAGTGTTCCTTGTTCTTGTGCATTCAACCAGCTCAATAGCATCTAACAACGATGTACTGATCTGTATTAAATTCTTACTGTGGTTTTGTCTTATTTCTCCAAGCAGACTATAAACAAAAAAACAAAATTGCTGCATACAATTTGGGGGCAGTGTAGCACTCCTACACCCACATTAAGAACTGTAGTGTTAGGACAATAGGGGGCTGCATACCTGGGCAGTTTCTCTGGGCTTCCTTCCAGGATCTCTACTTGCCCAACTGTTGGCACACACAGAACATCCCCTTCCTGGACTACCCTGCAACACAGCAGTAGCCCTGGTCAGCTCCCAAATGGCGTCATAAGCATATGCCTGACACATTACCCCCATGCCTACCCCCCAACATGCAGACTACTTCTTGGGAGCCTCCTGCCCACCCAAATATCCCAAGCAGCTCTCCAGAGAACAAGTCAGACCTAGAATGAGCAGAAGCAAATGGTGAAGGGGGATCAGAGATCAGTGAGGGACAGAGCAGAAACTTGGCTCTTTGGGGATGTTCTCAGATCCAAGAAGTTTCTTAGCTTAGAATGTCCAAATTCACCCCATGGTCCTGATTTCTCTTCTATTCTCTACCTGGCATCCCAAGAGGCTCCTTGCCACAATATTTCCTAAAATGTGGCTTCTGCAGAACTTGGATCTAAGGCATGGGATAGGAGGGGACTGACGAGGATGGGGTGCTGTGCTCCTGAAGGGGACAAGAAGCTAACCTGGGTGTCTGAAAGTGCCAGAAAAGAACATGGTCATAATTTCCATTAGTGCTGTAATGGGGAGAGGACACAATTTCCACGTGTAATTCTCTGGCAAACGGAGGCCCAGGTAGTACTGAGCAGCTTCTTTTGTCTTTGGGGGCGCTGGAGCCATCCAAGTACCTCTAGTAGAGAAATAACCATCACTTTATTATGTTTTCCCAGAGTCACATTCTGCCAACATATCTACCAGCCTTCATAGTCCCAACTCTGGGGAAGCAGAGCTACCTATATCTCCCCTACAATGGTATCCTCCCAAAACAGATACTGCCCCCCTCTAATGAACATCAGAAGAGATGTCAACTTATTTTCTGGCTCTGGCACCAAAAAGTTCCCCAATAAAGGTAAGCCTTCTGTGACTGATTACCTAGAAGTTGGCCCAGAGCCAATGAAATAAAGGTATTTAATTCCCACAAGTCCTTTGAGTGACACCATACAGTCACTAAAACTGACATTACCTGAACTTTTCTGAATTCAAACTGCAGGAAACAGACATGATCTTACTTAAGCTGAAAGAGTTAATTCAGCAAAACGAGCTCCAGTCTAAGCACTCCTAAAAAAATTTCCCATTCAGAAGGAAACTTACACCCACTCTTGCTCATGTACATCTTATATCTCTTCCTGACATCCTATGTTGCTGTTGTTAAGTGTTGTCGTGTCAATTCCGACTCATAGCAATCCTGTATAGGGTTTCTATGGAGCAGTTGGCGATAGTTTGAACTACAGACCTCGAGTGCCTATCCTATGGCAGCACACCAGGAGTCCCTGACAGCCTATAGCATTCATTTATTATGCCAACAGTGTCCAACATAACTTCCAGCAAGGATAGAAATGTTAAGTACTGAGCACTTAAAATGTGTCTAATGCAACCAAAGAATTGCATTTTAAATTTTATTTACTTTTGTTGCTAAGTGCTGTGGTGTAGATTCTGACTTATAGTGACCCTGTCTAGGGTTTCCGAGGAATGGCTGGCTGGTGAATATGAACCAACCTTGCAGTTCAAACTGGCCTTGCAGTCCAGTGCATTATCTTGCAGCACCACACTAGGATTCCTTATAATTAATTTAAATGTCAGTAGTCACAAAGGGCCTTATTGTTAAGTGCCCTTGAGTTAGTTCCAACTCATAGGAACCTTGCATAGGGTTTCCAAGGAGTGGCTAGTGGTTAATTACATATCCAACTAAATGTGTCCCCCCTAAATACAATTATCTTCTGTAAGCAAGCTCCTGAATGGCAAAAAGCAAGTATTTACCTTGTCTACATTAAATATTAAAATGAAACACCAGACATCAAAGATAGTCTTTTCATCCAAGGAATTTACAATATATAATTAGGAGATTAGCCAGATTACATAATCTTAGGGAGGCAGAAGAAAATCAATGCCCAAAGAAAGGTACACAATGCTACAGGAGAAGACACCATTGTTAACTTTGTGGTAGGGAGATTATGAAAGGCTTTGTGACAAAGCATAAAGTTTAGATGGGATTTAAAAGAAAGATGGTAGGATTTTAAGAACAAGAAGGAATTTGAAGCCAAAGATGAGCAAAAGAACTGAGGTAATATCTTCCATACCACCCAGCATAATACTGGGTGATGGTGGTTGTTGGGTGCCTTCACATATATTTAAAGTAATAGCAACCCCACGTGATGAAATAGAACTGCCCCATAGTTTTCTACTCTATGAAAGCAGATCTCCAGGCTGTTTCTCCCAAGGAGCTGCTGGATTGGTTTGAACAGGCAACCTCAGGTAAGTGCTTAGCCATTGTGCCACCAGGGCTCTTTAATATTGGGTGGTTGTTGTTGTTAAGTGCTGTCTATGAGTCGATTCCATCTCCTAGGGTTTCCGAGGTGGTAAACAACTGGTTTGAATAAGTAGATTATTATTCACCCCAAGCAATTAGTGAATCTCACCTTATGTCTGAATAGATGAGACCCCTTCCCATGCACCATCACATTATGCTTTATAGAGATTTATATTGATTGTAAAGAATGAACAAATAAGGTTATGATAAAAGTCGAAGATCTTAAGGTGTAAGGGGTCTAAATTCTAGAGCTCTTTCAACTTAATGAAGACCTAGAAAAAACCCGAGGAAACATTCCTGGTCTTGGTGCTGTATCCTACCTGAATTCTGAGCTCTCCCACTTCCAGAGGGTCACAGCCAAGATTAAATGCTAGAGTGGCAGGCACGAGGGCCAGTCCGTCAGCGAGGGGCTCTCCCAGCTGTCCAGACCCGGGTCCCAGCCTCTCACAGAGGTCCCAGCGAGGCTCCAGGGCCAGCACCGTGGCTAAGTGCGGTTTGGAGTTCGAGAACTCTTCGGCCCGGGCCACCCACACCCATTCGCCCTGGAAGAGGCCGAGGCCCCGGAGACACCTCTTGCTCACCCCCAGTGAGTCTCCACTCCCTCCCAGAACTCCCCGGAGTTGTCGGACTGTGGCCTGAGTCGCGAAGGAGGACACCACGGGCGGGGGTGGGGGCTGGCTGTTGTCCCCAAGATCCGGGCCCTTTGTAGCCCGCCCTCGCAGCTCCGTCATAGCCAGCCGCGTTCCTGGGCCCAGTAGCCCTTGCAAGGCTGGCCGTGTCTCCAGCACCCGCGGTCCGGAGACTGTCAAAGTCTCTCCGCGCCTCACCAGCAGCGGCCCGACCCGCGGCCCGACCCCCGGCCCCGGCGAGGTGCCAAGCAGCGCCCAGCCTAACGCTGGGGGCCGCCTCACGGGCCGCGCCCGCACCCATGCCCCGGAATCCAGAGCCAGGAGTCGCAGCAGTGCTCGGCTAACAAACAGCTGCGGGGGTCCAGGGCCCTGCTCTTCAGTCCCCGCACCCGGCCCCTCTAGGGCCGCTACTAGCAACGCTGGCCCTGCAGGGCTCTCTCCTGCAGGCCGCAGAGCCAGCACCTGGCCCAGCCCCGCCGCAGGCCACGGGCCCCCGAGCGGCAACAGCACCGCCAACGGGGGTGTCTCAGTCGGGAAGGGCTCCAGGACCCGCAGGACAGCCAGCACCATGGTGACAGGAGACCTAAGAGCAAAGTAAAAAAGCGTAGCTTCCGGAGCCAGCCAGTGGTACTAAGAGGCGGTGCGAGCGTCGTTTCCGCTTCCGCCAGGGGTGGAGTGAAGAAAGTGGGAGGGGTGCTCTGAAAAGAAGGAACGGGTCCTGGGTTAGATCTGGAGGATGCTTCAGTGGCAATGATCGCTGTAGTTGCAAAGCATTTACGCATGCGCCCTTGGAGGCTGTGTTTACAGGCCTCTTGAAGGAAAGAAAAGTTCTCAACTATAGAACGTTTATTGAATAATGAGTTGGGCTGTTAACCTCAAGGTCAGCAGTTTGATACTACCGGCGGTTCTGCGGGAGAAAGATGAGGTTTTCTGCTCCCGTAAAGATTTACAGCCTCGGAAACCCTATACAGGCTCGCTATGGGTCAGAACCGACTCTACGGCACTTAACTGAACCGTCAGCGTGCCCTGGAGCGACTCTACCCAGTGCTGGAACCTTTGGGTGGAGTGTTTAGGAAAGGATCTACTCCCCCCACTGTGGGGCTGTAGGCACTGAGGTTTCAGGTTGTGGGGATTGGAGCAGGAGGGAGTGGTAGGATTATAAAACTGTTTTAGACGTGTTTATGGATATGTAGTGGCTGCTGACTGGATTACTACATGTGATTCATGTAGCCCTGGAGTGCTTGGTGCTGCCACACCTGTTCCAACACATCCTACACAAAACCCACGTTCCAACACTTCTTGTCCTGTTCATTGTCCTGTTCATTCTACACCCACCAAACTGCAAGCGAAGACAAAGCACTTTCTTTCTTCCATCTCCCCAAATCCAGTTGCTTTCCTCCTACCAATCATTGCAGACTGAAGACCCAATCCCTGCTTCCACCCTACAGGGGAGGAGGGTTGAGGCTCTGTTATGGCACTGAGACAACAGCTTGCTTCCCACCTGTGCTGTAACTTAAATTCCGTTCTTGTCACCATCCATCCGCACTGTTCTGTACAAGACACGCATGCATTGGTAGGTCACACATTCCCAGTTATTAATAATGTATTTGCACTCAGAATCAACTGAATGGTGATAATCTCCTTTCTGGACTTTGCAGTCTCTTCTAGCTACTGCCCATCTTTCTCATTTCCTTTACAGCTCAGTATTTTCTATGTTATGCATTATGCAATAGTGATTTTTGAAAGTCAACTATCTGAAAGTTGAATATTAGATTTACATATTGTAAGGGATTTCTATCCCCAGAGAGACAAGAATTATTTTTTTAGTTGCCTGATTATAGTTCCTGGAAGTACCTCTAGTCTTAAACCTAATATTGCCCAGCCACACTTCTTTAAAACAGCATCTAAGAATGCATTAAGGAACTCTGGTAGCATAGTGGTTATGAGTTGGGCTGCCAGCCTCAACGGCAGCAGTTCAAAACTACCAGCGGATAGGTGGAAGCCTGAACCACATCCAGCTCTCCAGAGATGGGAGATTCCCACTTGAAAGGACAAGCAGACCAACCTGGAGTGGTTAGAAGAACAGAAGATGCTTCTTGAAAGAAAGACCTACAGGAAAAATATAAAACAACATAGGCAGACCGACTGTTACTACAAGAACAAGCAACATGCTTGCCCAGGAA